CTCATCCATCAAGAAATAACAAGTGTAATATCCACTAAAGCAAAGCTTAAGTATATAACACCAACAGAGTGGACTTGCTCACGTGGGCGGCGACGCGCGCGAGGATTTCGGGCAAGAACGCGATAGCGTGAACACGGATGAGGGGCTTCACGCACTAGCAGACCTAACCACACAAGGAATGGATAATGCGGATGACGTGGGCGTGCGGTTTGGCAAAGATGACCTAGTCCTTGAAGAGTAAGGCAACGCGCGCACACAATGGCGGCTAGGGTTTGGCGACGCAAAACGGATTCCATAGATTAGAATCCTTTTCTTTCCTTAATTCCTAGTATGGTAGGATATCTTATGTTTTATTGCTTTCCTAGTTTAAGTAGATTAGCCTTAGTGGAAATGGAGATCTTTATTTGAGCTTTATAAATAGGCGCAAGCATTGTTAGGATATAATTGATTCATCTTAATGCAAAAATCCGAACTTTTTGTTCAAACACTTTGCAAAGATTTCCTTGAGTTCTATTGCAATTTTATTTGTTTCGAAGGACTGTGGACGCGGATCTTCGAGACCCTATCTCGATTTAAGGCACTCGCGTGGCTTGTAGAAAGACCGAACACACGATCTTCAACACAGTGGCCGTGCGTGCGGTGCACGCCAGTCACGCCAGCAGCACGCTGACAGCCAGTGCATGTAACGCGTAGCGAGCACCCGGCAGTGCGCGGAGCGCCTAGCCGTCGCGCAGCACGCGGATGATGCAGAAGTGGCTACGCAGCTCAAGAACGCCGCAAGTCGCGCCTACCATGCACGCAAAAGGTTAGCACGGGAGACAGCGGAAATGCGCGCACTTGAGTGTAGTGCGCGCAGGGCGAGCGAAGATGGCCAGCGCACAGGTGGGCGGACGATAGGCGTGGCGGGAGCGCCTGGCGAAGGAGCGCACGCGCGCACGGGGAGCAGCGTGAGCAGGATGATCGCATAAGGCGAAAGCGCGCCAGGCGCGCAAGCACACGCAAAGCGTGAAGCATCAGTCCTCGAGGAATGCGGACCGGCGGAAGTCCACGTGCACAAGGTCGGCGCGAACATCATTGGCGTGCGCGACACGCCGGGCACCAGCGCACGCGCGCACGAGACCTTACGCCTCGAGGCATGCGGGGTGGCGGGGCACCACGCGCGCGGAAAGGCGGCTGAGGACGGGGATGCGTGCAAGGCGTGCGACGGAACTGAACACGCGAGCAATGGCGGCGCGGACCTAGTCCTCGCGAGGTTAGGCAAGCCTTAGGCGGTACGCACCCATGGCGATTGGCGTGAGGCGGCCGAGAGAGGAGAGAGATTACTTGGTGTGCAAGCCAAGCTATTAGTTTTCATCTTGAATTATGATTTCTAGATTGTTTAGGATCCTTAATATTTTATTTCTTTAATAGTTCCCTAGGTAGATTATGACTAGATATAATTGGTGCCTATATAAAGGCCATTCCCCATGTTATTTTTTATCATCAATTTTATGAATAGAAATCTGAACTTTTGTTCTTCCACTTTGCTTTAGTTTTCCACCAAAATTCCAATGCAATTTTATTCGTTCCAAGAGGCGTTGTTGGGGCTCGAAGAACACCTATCGGCGATTCAAGGCGCGGGCTTGCGGCTTATCGGCAATGGGGACACGTGATCTTCATCATTGGTGCTTTCATTGAGAGGTGTTAGATCGTGTGTCTTTTTCCCAACCCATTCCCTTTTCTTTTCTTCCCCCTTAGATTTGTTCGATTAAAAAAAAAATCCAAAAATCATCATCATCACGAGTCCTCAAAGTAAAGAGCGTAGGGAAGAGAGGAAAGCCATGGCCAACAAAGAGATGAAGGATAAGATCGATAATCTCGATGTTCAATTCCGTGGCATGAGCGAGGCCATAGATACACTTGGCGAGGGGCTCGATAATACGAAGACAACGGTGCAAGATCTAATGGAAACCGTGAATCGGCTCTTCGACGAGATGGCACGCAACGTGCTCGCACGCCTGCCACCACCGCGGCAACAAGATCACGCACGGCACCATGACCGCGAGCGGCCCGAAGGAGAGGATCGGCGGTGTGAAGAGTACGAGCGCGAGGACGACTACGAACGGCAGTCACAAGCATCCAACTACCGCGAGCGACTAAGGGCCGACAAACCCGCATCACGTTATCTACGTTCACTGGTAGCGATCTAGATGCGTGGCTTAACCGGGCGATGCAATACTTCGAGCTCAACGAGATGGACAGCCCAGATCGCGTAACGTATGCAGCCTATTATCTTGATGGTGAGGCCAACGTATGGTGGCAATGGCTCACGAGGATCTACCGCAAGCGGCAGCAGGCCATCACATGGGCCGACTTTGAGAGGGAGTTGCTCACACGTTTTGGCATATCCGATTACCATAATTACAACGAGGCTCTCACACGTATACGACAGACAGGCAGCTTGCACGAGTACATCAAGGAGTTCAAACGTCTGACATGCCGCGTGCGAGATTGGCCGGAGGATGCACTGGTGGGCGCTTTCATAGGCGGACTAAAGTTTGATTTAGCCGCAGAAGTTCGTCTCGAGCGGCCAGACACGATGCACGCAGCCATGGAGGTAGCCCGACGACGTGAGGATCATCTAGCAGTCACGCGAAGGGGACGGACGGATGTCTGCTTCACGGACGCGCGGCGCACAGGCCCGAGCCAAGAGACGGCAAGCGCGCGGCCGACCGTCAGCGCTCGGCCGGCAGGGCCGGTATTCAAGCGACTGTCCCCCGAGGAAGTCAAGCGCCGGCGTGAGAAGGGCCTTTGTTTCAAATGCGAAGAAAAGTTTACACCAGGCCATCAATGTAAGCAGGCTTTTGTGGTAGAAGTTGCTAATTCTGATGAAGAGGAATCTGAGGTCGAGGAAGAACCACATCATGAGGACGAGGTTGAAGTGCCCGAAGTGGAAGCTGAAATTTCGATGCACGCAATGGCAGGGATCAGAGGGCCAAGGACAATGCGGTTGCCAGCTTGGGTCAAGGATCGTAAGCTGGTCGTGCTCGTAGACAACGGGTCATCACATAACTTCATCAATGCCGAATTGTCCCAGAAACTGAAGCTGCCAACTACGAAGATTGAGCCCTTTGAAGTTCAAGTAGCTAATGGTGAGAGGCTGCAATACACTGAGTCGTT